TCTCTTGCTCTGGAGTGTGTTACTGAATATGTTAAAGCTGTAAGGAAATGCTTCTTCTAATCACGTAGTTATTAAAAATTTAAAAAATAAAAAAAATAAAAGATGGGCTAAAGATCTATGGGGCTGGAGAGATGACTCAGCAATTAAGAACACTGGCCCTTCTTGCAAAAGACCTGGGTTCAAATCCCAGCACCGACATGGCAGCTAACAATTGGGTGTATCTCCAGTTCCAGGGGATCCGACAGCCTCTTCTGTCCACCATGGGCATTGCCTGACACAGGTGCACTTACCTCCATGCAGACAATACACACATACACATGAAATAAAAATAATAAATAAAATATATTTTTAAAAAAAGATGGGCTAGAGATCTAAACAGAGAGTTCTCAAAGGAAGAAGTAAAGATGGCTAAGAAACATGGCAAAAAGTGTTCAACATCGTTAGTAATTAGGGAAATGCAAATTAAAACCACTCTAAGGTATCACCTTACCCCAATCAGACTGGCTAGATTCAAGAGAAGAAATGATATCAAATGCTGGTGAGGATGTGGAGAAACGGGAACGCTCATTCACTGCTGGTGGGATTGCAAACTTGTGCAACCTCTATAGAAAACTGTGGAGAACGCTTCAAAAACTAAAAATGAACCTATCATTTATAGGTTATGAACCTACCGGTTATACCACTCCCTGGCATATACCCGAAGGACTTATCCTATTGTAGAGATACTTACACAACCATGTTTGTTGGTGCTCTTTTCACAATAGCTAATTGATGGAAGCAACCTAAGTGCCCCTCAACTGACAAGTGGTTAACAAAATGTGGTATATTTACACAATGGAGTTTTATTCAGCAGTAAAGAAAGATGCAATAATGAAATTTGAAGGTAAATGGATGATCTATAAACTGTTATACTAAGTGAAGTAACATAAACTCAGAAAAACAAATGTATGTTCTCCCTCATAAGTGGATCCTAGCACCAAATTCTTTTAAATTCCATGGCCTTTTAATAAGATGATGCTGTACAGCAGTCTCTTCTGCATGAAGTAAATACCATCATCATGATTTTAGCTGTGCCTGATCGCTAAACGTCGTCACAATTGGGCTTGTTGAAGGTTATGCTCAATCATTAAAGGAGGGCCATGCAGGGTCATTGGACCATCACCAGACTATCCAACCATTCTGCCCAGCCAAGTGTATGTTATTTGGCCCTAATCACACATGGTCTCCTGGATTTGGGAAGGGCTAAAATATACAATCTGGAGAATGCTAAGAAGAGAAGGCATGACCCATGCTGGGTAAAGGTTTTCCAATGTGCATACCCTCAAGGTCGTACATACACCTCAGCAACCCCTCAGTTATCTCAGTAAGTAAGCTCAGTAAATTAATGGATTCTCCAGTAAAACTTTAATCAAACATTGGCTTGACACTAGAAACTTAAAAGGGAATAAGCATTGCTTAGTATCCCCAGGAAAAGAATTCTTACAAAAGATAGGAAATTTATTTGTTAATGCTATTATGTCTCATAATTATTAAAAAAAGAAAAAGAAAATGAGAATGTAAAAGATGTTAAAAGGATATGGGAATGGAGATATTTTCTAAAATAAACAGAAAAAAATGAGAAAGCCTAAGCAAGTGATGAAGGTCTGTGTAGGTTTGTTATGATATATAAAGGATGAGACAAAAATAATATACACATAATCCTAAAATTTCTAAGGTCATAGTTTAGTCAACTAGTTTAAGGAACAAAATATATATCTAGTCAAGGTTTATCTCAGAATATTTGGTTTTTTACCCAAGCTTAATGTACACAGTACATGATAATTAAAAGTACCAGACTAGTGGAACTAACCTTATTGAATGTTTAGCAGCCATACTTTGAGTACTATACTAATCTGGTTAGGGGGACTTAAAGTATAGTTTTTGCCCCTTGCCCTCCAAGGTCGACTAGTTCTAGGGGACTATGGAACATCTCTCAAAATATCCTGTAAATGTGGTGAGTCACCTGTCCTCTTGTTCAAGGAGGCCATGGAGATCCCACCCAATGGACTTTAACCAGTGTCCAGTCTACAAAAGAGGAGGGTCAACTCAGAGAAAACATCTCATCCGTGTTTCCAAGTGAAGCCAGACATGGTCGAGCAAGACCTTTGATTTATCTTCACATAGATGGAATTAGTAAAAGAAAGGAGCCAGGGGCTTCTCCCAAGCCCATGTGACCTCCGAGAAACAGATTCTCAAATGACCTTAAGTGTAAAAATAAATGATTTATTTGGGCCAACTGTATGGTCTTAAACACCCAAAGAAAAGTATAATCAAAGAGTAAAGTCATCAGTATATTTCTTTAAAAGTTCAAGGGATTATACTTCCCAGACATTAGGCTTAAGTCCATATAAATAGTTATTTAGACAATTATTTCTTGTTGATGATTCTTTTTTTTAGCCAAAAAGAAAATTCACTTTATTGGAAAAAATAATTATTTTAAACTGCTGCCATGGCCTTGTTTTCCCATAGCCTTATTACAAACTCTTTTCTATAGGGTTTTCTATGATTTTGTTCCTAATCAGAAAGTGCTGCTCAGATGTAAGACTTCAAATCTTGGTCTGCAATGCTGTAGTGCCCATTTGTAGAGACAACACGCTCTTATTCTAAAATGATGGATAAATTTGTTTTCTCCCCATACCTAGAAGCCTTTGAGAGGAAACTGACATTGATTCTAACCACTCCAACAGCTATCAAAATACCTGAAAGCAAATCCTGAATCCATCACTCTAGAGTCCAGGCTTGGAAGACAAAAGAAAAATGAGGAGGAGCCCAATAGAGGGATGCTTTTGGAAGCCCTTGTCAAGAAATTCCAATGGACTCTCATATGAATGTTTGAAAACTGCCTTGTTCTTTTATCTTGTTCCCTGTCTAGAACTTGTAATGTTAATTACTCTTGGCTTTACTTCTCTTTCACACACAAAAAAAGAAAAGCTAAAATACAGAGAATTTTAATGATTTATCTAATGTTGCACAGTTAATGAAACCAATATACATACAAACCTAGTAAATGGGAATCCACTGTTTATCATTTTAAACCTCCATACAATTCTGCTTCTCTTAAGTTAACGAGTATCAGAATTTTGGGGAAAAAAAAAAATCCACCCATTCCAGGGAAGTGGCAGACAGAACACAAAGAAGGAAAAAAGATGTCATACCCATAATAAATCCTAAGTGTATCCAGGAGAAACTGTACACCATACTTCTTTCGGAAAACTCTCCTGCTGTCTTTAATGATAGTAGAAAGATATTGAATATGACCTAAAATAGAAAGTTGACTTGTAAATGATATATCTGAAATATAGTCACATAGGTTTTCATAAATTTATAAAAAAAATTTTAAAGCTCGCTCTCACCAATACGAAAGGGAAAATCTCCACGGTTCCAAATACGGAAATCGAAAAGCAAACACTGATACATTTGCTGTAGCAACAGCAGATTTTTCTCTAATGACACCTGTTCAATTAGTAACTGAACTGCCATCAAGACGTTAACATCCATTAGCATACCTGGCACCTAAAATTCAACAGAAAAGTGTTCATAAAGATCAGTTTAAATAATACTGTTAAAATTTCAAATAATTCAGAACATCTATAAAATATAAAATTAAAAGATTAAGGTAGGAAAATAGAAACACCTTAAATCATTAATTTTTCTGATATAACACTAGACTATATTTTCCTAACATCCTATTTCTAAAGGTATTTTTTTAATGCGCAAAGCTCTTATCACTAAATTTTTACAGAAGCTATAAGAAATTATCATCACATAATTTTTTTTGCGCCCCACCCCCAAGCTGCCCTCCCACGGCGGTTGGAGGTGGTTATTCATCATCACATAATTTTACACATAAGGAAGGTAAGCAGAGAATCAACAACATAACCCAAGCATTTCATTAGTAAAGGAGGACAGCAAAGGTGTTCAAGCTCAGGCAGTCTGGCTACATAATCCATGATCTAATGGATGAAAAAACTGAGTCACAAATCATAAGCTGGAATGTGACTGACCTGAGAAACTGAGATAATTCTCCAGATAACTTTATGAAGAAGAATTATTCCTCCCATATCCAGATCAAGAAAATCTAATCACTTCCCATGGAATAAGGACATATACCTTTCTCACACTATTTTACAGTTCCTCTTCCAGGGTCCGTTATAAAGGAACAGCAATAACATGAATGGTTCTCACCTCTTCAGCCTGGACCATGTTTTTCCAACTATTCCTTTCTACTAATCTTATTCCTAACAAAACTGTAAGGTAGACAGTACAATGTTCATTTTTCCAAGCCCTGTTTTGTTGGCAAGTAAACTAAACCCCCCAAAAATGAAGTGATTTGCCAAAAGTCCCATGGCCAATCATTGGTGCTGAAAGAAGGCTTCAATTCCAAACAATCTTGATGCCCTTTCTGCTGTGCCATTTCAGTGCTGCATGCTTTAGAAACACTGTCCAGCACATTCCTCACAATCTCAGATATAAGGTTTTCCAGATGAATAGTTAAATTCTGAGAGGTTAAACAATCTATCCATATAGATTTTTCTTTGTTTATGACAAGTATCATGTAGCCAGACTATCCTCAAACTTATATAACCAAGGACTGCCTTGAATTTCTGATCTCCTGCCTTTAAGTACCAAGTACTGGGATTACATGTGTGTCCCACCACTCCCAACCAAAATGACATAGCAAGCCCAGTGGCTATACAGAATGTTCCTCGGCTTCACAGTTGTACTCTATCAGCTTTTCGGACCCAGTATCCAGAGGCCTTGCTTAGTCCTTAGTTAACTATGGAGATCCTTACCAGTTCACTCAGTTGGATGAGGGAACTCAGCAATCCTTGTTGGCTTGGGCCCAAACTATCTGGATGGCTTCTATTTCCAGCTTCTTAAAACGTTCATAAGAGTCAGTGCTGGCCTCATTCACAGCCTCTTGGAGACAGTTCACAGTTCACCCTTCTAGTACAGTATTTCTTATCCACTATCCTGAACAAGAAAGTATGCAGGGTTTTCTGGCTTCTTCAAGGGCCTATAAAAAGTACTCCCAAAAGTTTTGCTCACTTGTCTTACTAAAAAAATGCTTCTACTGGGGCCTTAGGCACAAACTTTGTAAACTGGTCTCCTAGTAGCATTATAAAATGATCTCTTAGAGGACTTCAAAGGGTGATAAACTATTGTGCTCTAGAGTGCAGGCTATGGACTTTGCATACTGGCATCTGAAGGTAACCTTATAAAATGGCCTGGAATAGGGTCACATAGGTCTTTCCAAACCAGTTTCCCAATGTGGTCTTCTATGTTTTCTCACCTGGCTTTCTAAAGTGACTTTATGTTTGGTCTTTATAAATTGGCCCCCAGAACCGCCTATGTGCTACTTTGCCAACTGGCTTTGGAAAGGACCTCATGTTGAAGACCACACTCTTGGAAAGCACATGTGAAAGCATGTGAAGAACACTCTGGGAAAAGACCGTCAAGTAAGCTACACAAAACAGTGTCCTCTAGGCCACATGAAATCTCCTCAGTAATTTTCTTTCAAATGTGAATTTCTTCAATGAATGCCTACTAGAGCTGACATTAAATGGCAGTTTTCCAGTAGTGGGAACTCCTGATCAGGTATACAAGATTCAGTTTCCAAAATATCTTTCAGAATGCCTCTGTGACTACTTGAAATGGCCTACAAAAGGCCTCCTAACTGATCTTAAACACAAGCCTCCTAGAGAGCTTTATACTGGCAACATGAAGAAACTTGCCATAGTGAAGTAGTATGCTGGCCTCAGTCTCTTGGCCTGCTTCCAATGCCTTCCCAGAACCTCTTATAATGACGTCTTTTAAATAGCTACCATATAAAAACGACCTTCAGGAGGTCAGAAGGAGTCATATAGTGTATGTGCAACAGTTTCCAACCAAAGTGGCCTTGTGATTTACTTTAACAATTATTCTTTAGCTATTGGGGCTTATCTAAGTAAGGGCCAGGTGAAACTGGAATGTGCCTTAGTTTTACAAGTCAGGTTAGGCATCGTTATATAAGTCAGAAGGCTGAGTCAGGAAGATTGTAAGTTTGAGGTCAGTCTAGGCTACATAGCAAGATATTTTCTTGAGTTTGGACAATATCTAATTGCTCCAGAGACACTTAATTCTATTTCTTGCATGCATCCTAGTTCTCTCCCTCCTCAAAGTAGTCAGAGGCTTACATGAGAAGCAGCAATTAGTCCCAGCTCATTAGAACATTTGAAATAGAGTCATAGTTCTCAAATACCAAAAATACTAAACCTAAGAAATAAGGATATGTACATCAAATATAGTCTTATAGAAAATAGGTAATTTGTGTATTATTCCATTAAACTTTTCCTAAAAGCTACCTATGAAACAAATTACATTCATTAATATAATTTGAGCTGTAATACAGCAATCCTTAGTAACGTTTCTTGGTAGGAAGAATAAAACAACAGTCAGTTACAAGAATCAGCTAAATAAATCAACACCACTTTAGATTTGCTTACCTTCTGAAGTAAGGCACCAAGAATTGGAACGCCATGAGACTGAATAAAATTGTCCTGGTTGATTGGATGTCTCTGAATAAAGTGTTTCACAATCAAGATAAATGTTGCAACTAGATTTTTCTCTAGTCTTGACTCTATGGAAATAGAAAAATGTCATTAATTATCAAAATTACTCTAATCAGTTTGCATCACATTTTTCATATCATAATGCACATTGTAACATAGAACTAATCTAGCTTCATAGCTTGCTTCCAAGAGTCACTTACACAATGGAATCAGAAAAAGCAGCAACTGCCTACTATATAATTATATGTGTAAGTAAATACTTCCTCTACCACTAATTTAATGATGTAGTCTCTTTTTTTCCATTAAAGCATAAAGTAAAAATAGTCTAAAGTAAAATTACTATCTTCAGTATTCTGACCCAAGTATTAAACTTACTGAACTATGTCAATAAAATTTGGGCAGATGCAATAGCTATAAATAGTAAGTGGTATGGTATTTTATTTTTTACTTAAGTTTCAAATTTCTAAATGACTAATTTGTGTTCATATCATTTTTACCTGATGCCTTTGTGGATGCCAATGCCATAGATTCTTTTTCTATAGGTGGTATTAATTCAGGAACTGTGCTTTCATTCATTCCTTCAGAAGTCTTTCCTACACTACAGTGGCTTATTTGTTCCAGTAAAGGAAAAAGTACATTTAATCCACCTATGCAGTTGATAACGTCCTGAAAACAAAATTATAATTTCTTAATCTTACAAAACAAGGGCAATGGTATAATTTAATATCTCCAGTGTATATGAATTTGCAATCTGTTAATAAACCTTAAGTGATATATGGAAGAGTCTGAGCTGAAGGAACCCTTAAAAAAAAATCTCAAAGGTAACCATAACCTACATTCAAAAGAAACCATTTCACACCATTATTCTGTGCTTGTTTTCTAAAGCTTGGGAATTTCAAACACGGGCAATGTATAATGTAACTCTAACAATGTAAGAACAAACAACTGGCAATAAATAAACATTTAGGCATAAAAAAGAGAAGGATAAAAACTATTTGCCAGTAGAAGTGTTAATACGTCCTTTAATTTTAGTTAATAAAAGATGGGCTAGGTAAAGTAAGCTGAAATATGTATAGTGTTTAATGCCTGACATAATGTGGATGCTATATAAAGTTACTATTATTTGTAACATTCTGGCCCAAGCTAATACGCTGCTGTACCCTCTTAATTGCAGTATAAGGGAGGCTAAAACAAGAATATGCCAAATTCAAGGCCAGTCTTCGAAGGACCAAGGGATGGAGGAAAGTTCGAAGGACTGAGGGAAGAAGGAAAGGAAGTGAGGGGAGAGAAGTAGAAGGGAAAGGTAAGGGGGGAAGAGATTAACTTATATTTCATGTCACATAGATTTTAGTGACAACAGTAGCTAAAAACCACTTATTAAACAAAACTTCCCAATATAATTTTATTAACTATAGTCCTTTTGTTATACCTGAGAGTTCAAGATTTATTGATACTACATATCTGCCATTTTGTGTATTTTTATCCACTACATAAAACATAAAAAATGAACATATTCATGGAACCATCATACTGATTTAAAAGCTCTTTGTTTAGTAGCAAATAAACATGAAAATGTGTCTTTTTCTTGACAATACTGTTCCTATTTTGTTTCCCACACTAGGCAAAATATTTGATTAGTTAATTCACATAGCAATAATACAAACTTAAATACAAAGTGCCAAAGATTGTTTTGATTTTCAAATTTATACTGCATAACTGAAATAGTCAACTTTCTATACATAACAGATAGAACTAGTCTTATAAAGCCAGTATTACAAAGGAAGCAAAAGGTAACCTAAAAACTATCAATAATAGAATGTTACTATCTTAACAATGAGTAAGTATTCTTACCCTAAGTTTAAAGAGAAAAATGTTTTATAGACCATGAATAACATGAGATTATTATTGATTGATTCAGATTTGAATAGGAAAGTATTCAAATGATTTCTGAACTCATGAACAAGGTAGTCAGTTTTTTATTGCTGTTAACTGACTAGAAAATTTATCTTGCTGATTTACCAGTGAGTTCCATTATAGATAGCTTTTATATTCTTTTGATTTATCAGTTTAAGAGTCTGAAGAAAAAAAAAAGTCTGGTATACTGGCATACAGCTGAAATCTCATTATTCTGGAGGCTAACAGGATTAATGTCTGAGGCCAGCTTACATACATACAAGCGACAGTCATACACAAAAAATTAAAAAAAAATTTTAAAGGTACATTTAAAAGGACTAGGGCTGGGCATACAGTTCAGGTGGTGGAGTGCCTGCTTTGCATGCATGATTCCCTGGGTGCGATTCCCAAAACACCATACACACGTGCACACACACACACACACACACACATACACACACACACAATCATCATCATCATCATCATCATCATCATCATCATCATCATCATCATCCTGAGGCTAGGATGTGGCTCAGTGGTAGAACACTTGTCTAGAAACACCAAATCTTGGTTTTAAAAAGAGTTTCATTATAATCAAAGAATAAGCAAACTTAAATTATACTACTTGCTTATCATGTATTATTACTTTACCTTAATGTCCCAGTTTACTACTTTGTGTCCTGTTAATCTTCCATGCAGATAATTAGTAGACAGGTCAAGGCAAATTGAATTTTTGCAAGCCTAAGAATAAAAGAAAAATACAGTAACCATCTAAGTGCAATCAGAACAAAACTTTAACTATATATGGAACTTTTCATCATATTTTTGAAAGGTATATAACATAATCAATGATATTATGCCCAGCCTTTGACTTTTACTATTGCTGTTATCTGAATATGCTTTGTGTATGTGCATATATGAATATGTAGTATATATGCATGGGTGCGTGCACCTGTGCCCACATCTGTAGAGTCCAGAGGTCAACATTATGAGTTGAGTTTCTTCCTCTATCACTCTCTACCTTATTTTTTTGAGACAGGGTCTCTCACTGAAATGGAGATCACTAACTGGTCAGACTAGCTGGCCAGTAATCTCTTCGCTATCTCTGACCCCCAAGCAATGGAGTTAGAAGCATATATAGCAATACGCAGCTATTGTATAGGCGCTTAGGCATCCAAACTCTGGTCCTCATGTTTGCAGACCAAGGACTTTTCTCACTGAACTATCTGGTTAGCCCTTAATGTCTCTTAAAAGAACCAGGTAAAAATTCTAAAGCACTCACTTATCAAAAGCATGATTTTTAAAGTGTATCATCAGTCTCCAAGAGGGATTTGAAGCATGCAACAGCTCACTGGACTTATTTAATACATCCAAGTATCATGACATATGCCATTTTGGAGAAACATACCTGTAGCAAACTCTGTTACATACATACTAGTCAGATATTTTGTTGGAAAACAACAAGGCAATATATATATATATATTTTTGAGACAGGGTCTCCCTGTAGCCCCAGCTGTCCTGGAACTCACTATATAGACCAGGCTGGCCTTGAACTCACAAAAATCCGCCTGCCTCTGCCTCCTGAGTGCTGGGACTAAAGGCGTGCGCCACCACACTAATTTTTAACAGTACAGAAGTTTTTTGTTTCAGTAACAAAAAAATGCAGTCTTAATATTACCAAATTCAAGTTACTTTGTTTTAAACGAGGACAGCCATGATGTCAAAGAACAAGATGCCCTTCATGTATCTAGAACATGCTGGTCAATATATTATTTGGATTACATACAAAGATTTCCTAGCTTTCTATTTGAATATAAGTAGGAGTAATGATTAGTAGTTGCCAAGAAATAAGGTTAGTACAATCGGGTAAACAAACATATTGTTGGGAGAAAGATATGAAAAATACCCAAGCAGAACATTTAAAACTCAGCTGGGAGCAGTGACACCAGTCCATAATTCTAGTAAACAAGACTCTGTGCCAGGAAGATCATGAATCTGAGGCCAGCCTAGACTAGGAGCAAATTCCAGGCTAGCTTGTTACATAGCAAGATTCTGTCCAGAACAGAATGGAAAGACTTAGAAGATACTGCAATTAACACAGTATGTGGAACTTGACTGAATTAAAATGAATTTTTGCTCAATATTTTGATGAAAATCTCAATATATATGATATATTCAACTATGACTCCTTTGTTTAGGTAAATAATTATAAAGAAATATTTAGAGATAAAATTTTATAGCTCTTATCAATCAGCTTTTACAAATGACCTCAGGAAAAGTTATCAAATACAACAAAATGTTAATAATTGGATAATCTGGGTAAATATATAGGATCACTACACTACTATTCTTTTTTACTTTCTCTATGTTTGAAATTTATCCAAATAAAATCAGTTAGTTCATTTTATTAGATCCAAAGTACCAAATAAATGATTGTGTACCAGCTTGCTAAGCTAGAAAAAAAATGTTCTGTAGTATGTTTTCTCACACAAAGCATTCTCTGTGTCACTTTAACATTAAATAAAATGAAGGCAAATATGACACTTTTATGACATTTTTGTTTTCTTCCTTCCAATTCTACCTTTTATCTTCTTTCCCTAAGTTCATGCTGATTTCAATCATTTTCACTAGATAGATCTTTAAGGGAAAACAACTAGACATGGAAGACATATTAGAAGGTGTTTTTTTGTTTTTTGTTTTTTTTTTTTGTCTTTTTTGCTTTTTTTTTCCCTATCCTGTAGCAAACATTTCCCCTCCCCCAATATCACACTTTAAAAATCAAATCAAATTTTGACCACAACTGTTTCACTTGTTTCCAGGTAGCTAGAGGAATACAAGTTCAAAATGTTTCATAACCTAAATTCCACTCATTAGTACAAATTTCAAAAGTTACTTCTATTAATACTATTTAGAATGATATAATGCCTTAATTTTTGCTGCTCCAAACCTTCCTTTAAAAATCTCTTATTGATCTTTGGGGCTGGTGAGATGGCTCAACAGTTAACAGTGAGTTTGGCTCAGCAGTGGCTACTCTTGCAGAGAACCTGGGTTCAAGTCCCAGCACCCACATGGTGGCTAATAACTGTCCATAACTCCAGTTCCAGGGGATTTGATACCCTCTTCTAACCTCTTTGGGACTTGCACAATACGGATGCACTTACATACATGCAGGCAATGCATTTATATAAGTGAAATAAAAATAAGTATTTTTTTAAATCTCAAATTGTTTTTAAAATGTCAATTCAAGCCCCTCCTCAATTACCCACTGAAATGGCAAAAGGAATAAAAAAACACATTCTAGTTCATGGCAGAGTTATAACCAAATGAACAGTTCATGTATTACTCTCACCTTGGCTGTGTAATGAAGGAGGACATTACTGGGTAGGTCGGCCATGTCAAACTCTTGACACTTCCAAGGGCTTAAGCAATTTGGACCTGAAAATTATTTATACACATACACACACATCACTAAACACATATAGTCTCCTTGGTTCTGTGATATCATAACAAAATTTAAAATTAAGATTTTTTTTCAGGGCTGGAGAGATGGCTCAGGGGTTAAGAGCACTGGCTGGTCTTGCAGAAGAACTGAGTTCAAATCTCAGCACCCACAAGACATCTAACAACCATTCATAACTCCAGTTCCTGAGGATCTGACCTCCGGGGACATTGTACAACATGGGTGCACTTACGTAACACTCAGGAAATATACTCATACACATAAAATAAAAATAAATCTTAAAAAAATTTAAAGATCTTTCAAGCTATTCAATATAGCTAAAATACACAAGGTAATAAATACTTTAAGTTTTACATCACCTGTAAATTAGCTAAAACCTAGAAAATTGGGGAACAAGATCAACCTCTGCTGCAGAAAGTGTATAAAGCATTATGAAACTATTGTAAAATTCAAAAATTTCTATTAATTTATCTAATGTAAACAAATTAAAAATAAGAAAATAGGAAACATTAAAAATCAATGTGACACCAGGCATGGCGGCACATACCTTTAATGTCAGCACTCAGGAGGCAGAGGCAGGCAGGCAGGCAGGCAGATCTCTGTGAGTTCAAGGCCAGCCTGGTTTACACAACAAGTTCCAGGCCAGAGGTATATAATGAGTCCTCATCTTAAAAACAAAACAAAACAAAAAAGTATGAAAAGACAGAAGAGAAATAGAATAGCAAGTAAGCAGGAAAACATGTCAACATCATTTAAAATTCAAGAATTTTAAATTTAAAATCCAAGAACCTTGTTTGAAGCTCAAACGAGGTTCTATTTTACAACGAATAATGGAAAAATATTTATGATTTATGATTTTATATCTACGTGGTGTGTGTGTGTGTGTGTGTGTGTGTGTGTGTGTGTGTGTAGGATATGTCCCTGTGTGTGCATGCACAGGCCAGAAGCAGATGTTGGATGTCTTCTCTATCACTCTCCACCTTATTTTGGGGTTAGATCTCTCACTGAACCTAAAGCTCGCCATCTGGTTAAGCTGACTGGCTAGTGAGCGCCCAGGTTATACCTGTCCCCACATCTCAACACTGGGGTTACAGGTAGCCACAGCCATGTTCAGTCTCTACATGGATGCTAGCGATCCAAACTAAAGTCCTCTTGTTTTCACTGTGCCATCTCTTCAGCCCAGGAAATGGTACTTATACTCCATCTTGTCAAAGCTATGCTAAAATTGATACATTTCCATTACTAGTAGGCATTGTAAGTTGGTGCATCTCTTTTGAAAACTGATTCTGCAACATGTATTAAAAACCATTAATTTGGGCTGGAAAGATGGCCCAGCAGTTAAGAACACTTGCTGTTCTTCCAGAGGACCTGGGTTTGATTCCCAGCACCCACATGGCTAACAACTGTCTGTAACTCCAGTTCCAGGGGATCCAACACCTGTTCTGGCTTCAGTGCACGCATTGCACACACGGTGTACTTACATACATGCAGGCAAAACACTCATACACATAAAAAAAACAATAAATAAAGTATTTTTTAAAAAAGAAATGGAATATATGAGGTCTGGTGGGGGGTGGGGGGCATGGATAGGGAGGGGATCCAAATTTGATTAAGAACTACTATACGAAATTACAAAAACTTGGGCTGGAGAGATGGCTCAGCAGTTAAGAACACTGTTCTTGCAGAAGACCCAGGTTTGAATCCCAGCACCCACAACTGTCTGTAACTACAGTACCAGGGGATCCAACAGCCTCTTCTGTCTTCTGTGGGAATTGCACGACACGGGTACACTTACCTATATGCAGGCAAAACATGCATACACATAAAATAAAAATAATATTTTTTTAAAAAAAAAGAAATAACAAAAGCTCAATAAAAATTTTTTAAAAGAAATTTTAAAAAGAACCATTACTTTATTCACGTACTTTGATTATTCTGAGATTTTACTCATTAAATCCACTATAATAAAAAAAGCTCTTTAGCCAGGTGTGGTGGCACACGCCTTTGATCCCAGCACTCGGGAGGGAGAGGCAGGTGGGTCTCTGTGAGTTCAAGGCCAGCCTGGTCTACATAGTGAGTTCCAGGACAGCTGGGGCTACAGGGAGAACAAAAAGACCCCCCCCCAAAAAAAAAGTGAGGAAATAAGTTTCTGTGGTTAAAGACATCCATCCTGTGGTATTTTGTTACAGCAACCCTAGGAGACCAACACAGGCAATACTATGGATAATTAAGGAATTTAAATATTGTCCCAAGTGAGGCTGGAAAGATGGTTTAGTGGTTAAAAGCACTTACTGCTCATGGAGAGGACTGGGGTTTGGTTCCTAGCACCCATGGTAGGTGGCGCATAACCACTTATAACTCTAGTTTCAGGGGTTCCAGTGCCCTTTGGCCTCCACTGGTGCATCCATGTGGTACACATAAACTCACATGGACATATACACATAAAAACAAATCTTTAAATATTACCCAAAGGTTTAGTTCTGCCTACCAAAATAAAAGTGTAGAACACAATAGACAAGTACAGGGCTGGGGATGTAGTTCAGAGCTGGATCACTTGCTTAGCATATGCCAGGTTCAGGAGTTCAATCCCCCAGACTGGAAAGATGTGAGTGAATGAATGAATGAACGGATGAATGAACTCTTTAAGTCAAATATACTCTTCAGAATACAGTCAAGTAACAGAAAAAGATTCTTAAACAGTGTGACTGTACATGCTCACCTGCTAAATATAATGCCTTCACCTGAGGAGGTTGCAGTGCTTCATGGAAGATGGTAACAGAACCTAGCTGACCCTCCAAGGATGTGGGACACCCCCATTCACTATCTTGGGTTCCAGCTGAAATTAACTTGGTAATTAATTTTGATTTTTCTGTTGTTCCTCCCCAGGAGGCCGATGATAATATGCCACCAAATGATGTCCGATGAGGAGTAATAGGAGAAGAAAATGGTGGATCTGGGATTTGAGACGGTGGAGGAGTAGTGGTTCTCTGCCCAGCTGAACCAATACAACAGGAAGTAAATGGCTACAAATTGAGACACAAAAATAACAAAAAAAATGTTTAAAATTACAATTTTAAATAGATTTCTCTCTTCACAGTTAAAAGTCAAACAGTACAAAGCTGGGCTTGGTGGCACACACCTACAGTCCTCCTATTGGAAGGGACAAGACAAAGCGATCATGAGCTCATGACCTGCATAGTAAGACACTATCTCAAAACAAAACAATAAAAAAGACTACAGGGCTGGGGATGTACCTCCATGGTAACGTACTTGCCTATCACATGATAAGCCTTTGATTCCCAGCAATGCAAAAATAAATAAATGAATTTTAAAATTAAACAAAAATTATATGAAATAGTATATAAAGTTAAGCAAATAAAAAGATTGAAAATAAAAGTGGAAGCAGTTCTTTCAATTGGATAACATATATGCCTATGTATATATCTAAGGCATCATTATCAAAGTTATCTTTGACTAACAGAATGTTGATGTACTTTATAACTCAATATGTCCTTGCTTAATTTTTAATGTTTAATCAGTGAATACTATTTTTAAAAGTTTAAAATAGCTTTACTACTATCTAAAATAGAGAGAACTACTTTTCCCTATAAGATTTATCAAGAGAGAAAAATGAAAAAGAATAGAATCAAAAGAGAAAAAACAAAATATAGAAACAAAAGAAAAAATAAACAAAAAGGCAAAAACAACAGAAAGAAAAACAAGGTAAAAGAAGTTATGAAAAGAAAATTTAGAAAGAAAATTACGTATCAGTGTGATATTAATGAAAGGGTACCCTGAATAATCAAGATGAGAAGAAACTACTAAATGCTATCAATTTCACAAATAATGTACTCCATACTATTACCCCACAAAAGAGTTTCTTAAATTTGCCAAAAATTCTCAAAGAACTTCTTACAACAGTGTAACTGATAATCACCTGATAGATGATTTTTTATACCTATAACGTAAGAGTCTGAAGCTTCATCAGTTGAAATTTAATAGAGATGTAAGAGTCCATCCTAATATTTTCTTAAGCATTTTATATATATGGAGAGTTTTTTTTCAATGATACTTTGCTCTGTTCTATTCATTCTTTGGCTCTGCTGAGTTTTTTCCACTAAGACTTTCATTACATTTGCTTCTTTCTTGAACTGTTTTTTCTAAACACTGTCTGGTGGTATATTTAATGACAGACTGACAGCAATAAATAGTAATCACTGTATTTGAGTATATAAAGCACACATAAAATTTTGAAGAACACAGATTGTTTTATTATTTCCTAAAATTGTTTGAGGTTTTGCAATCAATTGGGCCTGTAAAGGGTAAGTTTTATATACTCACTTCATTCATGGCAGGAAATCTGAGAGGAGCAGAAACCTTTTGTTGTCCATTGTCATAGATATACACAAGACTCTGACCAAAGGGCCTTTTTCCAGGCATGTGAACAATGGTTATGTTGTGCTGATGTAGTAAAGCATGCATTTAAAAGGAGAAAATTACTTTGTGTTTCAGGAATGACATGTTTTCACAGTAGTACTTCATAACAATTTTCTATGTAGTCCTACAAAACAAGCCTTTTCCAGAAAAAAAAATTTTAAATCACATAAATTATAAAGCTTTCTAAATGTATTTATTGATTCAAGAATGTAATTTGATCACATTCAGACCACTTTCCTCCTGAATTCATGTCCTCTATTATTACTCATCTTTTTTTTTTTCCAAAGGCCTATCAAGTCTAACCTGTGTTCCCCAAATGCTCTTGGTTTTGGGTCAACATACCAGGCATCACACCAGTAAGGAAAACTGACTCTCCCTCCCCAGCAGCTATCAATCGCCAATAAGTCCTCCGCTAGGGCTGGAGCTTCTTGCCCACTTCTCCCATCCATCCTGAGTTTTTGTCTGACTTAGGCTTGCACAGGGATTTTGCATGCTGTTACAAGCATGATGGGTTCATATGTACAACTACCCTGTTGTGTCCACAAAACACAGACTCCTTTAAATCTCTTTTCTAGATTTTCCAAGACATTAGGTATTTTTAGAATAATTTTTTCTAGTCAAAGAATTATATACAATTTAGATAAGCAACAGAAATGCATTGTTTTTAACAAACCAACATTTCGTTTTCAATTGAAACTCAAAATCACATTTGATCCTAGAAAATCTCAAAAGAAGGACTAGAGAGATGAATCAGCAGTTAAGAGCACTGGTTGCTCTTGCAGAAGACGTGGGTTCAAATCCCAGCATGCACATGGAGGCTAACAACCATCCTTAACTCCAGTTCCAGGGGATCTAAAACCCTAATCTGACCTCTGCAGGCACTGTTTTTACACGAATAAGCACTTACATACATGCAGGCAATACTCTCATACATATAAAATAAAAATAAGTTTTTTTAAAAAAAATCTTAAAGGAATCAAAATACTGCGATTTAATTTTTAACAGAAAAACGATTATTGCTTATTTTATGACAACAGTAAACAATATTAACCTCTTTATAGATGAACAGAAGTTTGAAATGAAAATTGACTTCTACAAAGCTTATGAAAAAACATCAATTTGATATATTTTTTAAAGGAAAGAACTAAGAGTTTGAATGTGTTGCCCTAAAGTCTTACCCAGAGGGAATCACAGAAACTGTGGTCAGGAAGCATAACTGTTGCATATTCTCTTTTTGTGCACACTGCCACAACCAACATACCTAAATGGTTAATAAAAGCTTCAAAACCCATGCCATTTCCTGTAAAAAAGCTAACAAAAAAAAAGTTATCAGGATTTCTGGTCAAGCTGATCAGTTTCTTTATCATTGAAGCACATCACCATAAACCACAAAGCCATCACAAATATGTTTATCAAAGCTGCTGTAGCTTCAATTCTATAGCCACACATCGGTCCAACCTTGTTTCAGTCATTTTTAAAATCCTTTTTGAATATAAAACTTAATAAATTATAAAAGATAACATTGTAAGAGAGATGTCAATATCAAACTATAGTGCAATAAATTTTCAAATCTTTGAAATTCTTCCATGTAACATTCTGAAAGTATATTTAAAAGATGTAAAAATCACTGGGCGTGGTGGCACACGCCTGTAGTCCCAGCACTTGGGAGGCAGACGCAGGCGGATCTCTGTTGAGTTCAAGGCCAGCCTGGTCTACATAGTGAGTTCCAGGACAGCTGGGGCTACAGGGAGACCCTACTTCTAAAAAACAAACAAAAAAAAAAGTTGTAAAAATCATAAGGCATATTAAAAATCAGTTATTGTTATTGAAGCCTGAAAGCTTTCTATAAGCACACAGCTTCTTTAATCAAACACTTTATTATTATTCTCCACTTTTATATTACTTTTGTTTCCTAAAGCGCCTTGGTACTTAGTCATAAAACTATCAGAGATACATAATTATTATGAAAGCAGTAAAATGCTTATAAACTATGCAGCCAAAGGATGAAGAAACTTCATGTACACTGTTAAAGATTTTAAAACTAGATTCTTAGATATGCTTTTTCATATTTAAGAATCATAGCATAGGGCTTGAGAGATAGATCAGTGGTTAAGAATGCATACTGTTTTTTTCCATAGGATCTGAATTTGGTTTCCAGCACCCATGTTGGGTGGTTCACAAAGACCTGTACCTCTAGCTCCAGGCGAACTGATATTAAGTCTAGCCTCCATAGGCACCCATACTCATGGGCACATACCCATATATGACAAACACAAATACATCTAATTAAAAATAGAAATGGTAGCCGGACGTGGTGGCACAAGCCTTTAATCCCAGCACTCAGGAGGCAGAGGCAGGCAGATCTCTGTGAGTTCAATATCACAGTGAAAGATTTATCGTCCTCTTTTTTTTTTTTTTTTTTTAAAAAAAAAAAAAAAAAAAAAAAAAAAAAAAAAAAAAAAAAAACAGAAATGGTAACTCTTTAAAAGAAAATCATAGCATATACTATTGTGACAATATTCATTTGTTCTCCACAATCTGTAGCATTACCTGTATAACTGTTTTCTTTTTCCTCCTTTGTTAGTAATGCCAAGGGTTAACTGATCCTGATCTAAGCAAAACCAAGCAGTAAAAGAGAATGCAGACCCTGGCCATCTCTGTATGGGAGGCACAGAAATACCTGCCATACTATGAGACAGATTAAAATACTGCAGTGCACTCTCTAGACTTAGTTTCCGTGCCATTGTGAGTATTGCACGAGTCACAGGAATGGTATATGGGTGAATAAACTCAGATTCATCCACTCTCAGCAATCTTAATAGTCGACGAATTTCTTCTGAGCTCACAGACTGACTCCCCAAGGAACCATGGATTGCAATCAAGTTCTCGGCACAAGTTCGATGTAAGGAAGAATGGGAATCTAGGGTTTCAATGATTCTCATTCCCATGTTTGCATTCACACAAGTAGTTCGACTCTGTTTATTAATACAACAAATTTTCTTCAGCCAATCAGAAATGAAGATCTGTAAGTCATGGGATTCTAGCTCTGGAAGCCATTGGATAAGAACCAAGAGGGGATGGACATTACTAATGCCCAAAATACCAACTGAAGTATGATCACCCTCTACAGCCTGAAAAGCAAAATAAAAGAAAAAAAGGCTAGTTAGTATTTCTGAAGTAGAAATAATGGAACTTCTTGTAGCAAAGTTTAAAATAAACTCACCATATTCATAAGTTCTTTGAGCAGTTCCAGTGGTGGCTGACCCAGAGATTTTAGTACCTCAAACATATGTGTATAACCAATTCTTTCTTTAAATACTTCCTAGAGGGGAAAATAATGTGCCAAAGACATTTTCAATGACTAAATTTGTTAGAATATTAAATACTGAATACCTATTTGAGCTAAATTAATATAAAATACAGAAAAAGACAATGTAATCACTTTTCTCCCTTTCTCCCTCCATCCCTCTCCCCTCTTGCTCTCCTCTATCTCCCTCTCCCTTTTTTCCTCTCCCTCTATTTTTTGAGACAGGGCCTTGCTATGTTGCCCAAGCTGACCTCAACTTTGCAATCCTTCTGCCTCACCTTCCTCAGGAACTGGGATTACAGGGATGTGCCACCAAATCTGTGTTCATCTCAAAATAGATTCTATATTCCCTGAATAATAATAAAGGTGCAACAGTCTACTAAAATGCAAAACCAATGAAATTAGAAACAACTATGTTACAGAATTATCTTATTTTCTGTAAACTAAAGCAAAAGATACTCTTTACTTTCTTAACCAGAATAGTAATTAACGAAATAGTAGGTGAAGTTAAAACAAAAACAGAGAAACACTAAAGATACTTAGCAGTAAGAAGAATTACATAACAACATCAAAGGACTGGTTTACAGTCTTATCAAGTATGGTGGCCTAAACCTATAATCCCAATAGTGCAGAGGTACAGGAAGAAGGACTGAGAGTTCAAGATCATCGTGGGCTCCACACTGAAAACCCAGTCAAAACAACAGCAACAAGGACTGGGGACATAGCTAAGTGGGAGAGCGAAGACACTGATTTAGATTTATAACAATGCTAAATTTAAGTTGCCAGAAAAAAAAAAGTTCAAAGAATTTTCTCTCTATTTTCTGTACCTAAATTATCTGAAATAAGTTCATTTTAGGGAGTTTTAAGTCACATATATTTTTTAAACCACTGTGCATTCAAGGCTGTAAACTAAAGTATAAAGACAACCAAAAAAATCTAGAAAATATTAAATTAGTAGATTAAATTAGGCAGAAATACACACACTAACTTAAAAAGATTTGAACAAAATCAGGTGATTCTAAAAGAGAAAGTTAGCTGCATGTGTGCCAAGGATGAGAAGAAAATCTTATCAAGAGTTGACTTTATTATATAACCTCTTATTTGAGGGCAGGGGAAGGCAGACAAGCAGGGGACTTGAATTTGTTAAGTATACACTCTGCCACTGAGCTACAGCCAGCCCTGCTATATAACCTTTGAATTTTAATCAATACAAGGTATTACACAGTCAACAAAACATTAATTTTAAAATGATTTCAGCAGCTTTTTAAGTATTAATTTCAGAAACAATATAGGCAATGTTATACTAAATTAATTGCTTAGAATTTAAAATTATTTCCCTTACAAAAAAACTATTATTAAATAGTGAATGAAATCACAAGCCAGACGATAAAATTTGAAATAAACTTAACCATGAGTTACAACAATAGTTCTACTGCAAAAATTAGAGTTTCAAGATAAAACGAAGGAAACTAGGGAATACAACTGAAAGCATGACTCAGGAAACATTTCTGGTAGCAGAAAAGTGGGGAATGAAGTATGTTAGAGGTGCAGATCAGTAGGCAAAAAGATAATAATGTCACTAACATGCATTACATACTTACCATGTGCCTGGCACTTTCTTAACTACTTTACAGATGTTTTCATAATACTTACAACTACTCAATGAGGTAATTATCAGTATGTGAGCATAACCAAACAGTCAGAGATAGGGGTAAAGAACTGACAGAGGTTGGAGAAAAGGCGCAGCGCTTAAGAGCACTTGCTGCTCTTGTAGAAGAACAGAGTTCAGTTCTCAGCACCCACATCTTGTGACTCACAACTGCCTGTAACTTCAGCTCCAGGGGATTTGATGCCCTCTTCTGGTTTCTGCAGGGACCTGGACTCATACATGCACATACTATGCAGATAAATAAAACTAAATCTTTAAGGGAAAAAAAAAGGGCAGAAAACCCTGAGCGTTAGTGACAACAAAGAAAGAAACAGAACGTCATGGAAAAACAAATCCCATATGACAGGATGATCACGTGAAAAATATTCATATTCTAGATAGTTGAAAACTCATAAAATAGCATAAGTGTTTATTTTATTAATGAAAAGTTATGATGTAAAATTTAATTCATTAAACTCAATAACCAGACTGGAGAGCTTAGCAGTTAAGAACCCTGATTGCTCTCACAGAGACCTGGGTTCATAGCCCAGAACCCACATGGCAGCTAATAACCATCTGTAATTCTAGTTCCAGGGATTCAATGCCCTCTTCTGACCTCTGCAAGCACTGCACAATATGGGTACACTTACATACATGCAGACAATACACTCATAAAATAAAAATAATAAAATATTTTTTAAAAACTTAATAACCATACACTCACTTAAAATGAGTACTTCAACATCAATGGTATGATTCCACTTTTGAACAACACTAGGTGCAGTTCAGGCATCAATGTGTTTTAAAATTCTGGAGTGTCCATAGGGGTTTGTCTTTAAAATTATTAGCAAATTATATTTATACAAAGGTGAGCTAATCTGTAAGTTATTTCTGTATTATACACTTTCACACATCACTAAGGGATTTATATAGTGAAAACTGTTACAATAAAGGTAGTTTAAAGCTTTGGGATCTACATTTCACCTTAGCAGCTGGAGATTTCTTCATCACCGCTGTCAAAGCCTGAATGGCTGACACAGCCAAACAATCCAGTGGTCCCTGAAACACCTACCAGAAGAAAAAAAACAGCAAGAAATTAACAAATTTATTCAAGATTGTATCCACATGGAAACCTTTGTTCTGAAAACCTGAAAAAAATAACAGCATGCACTACACTCCTTTTCCTATCAGATTATTGAAATATTATAACCTGAAAGAAAAGTTATTTCATTAAGAGAAGATAAGCCACACATCAAGAAGGATGAAGCAACATTCATTATTTTAAGTATTCTAAGGGGGAAAAAGAACACCAAGCTTTACACATGCTTTAAAAAATGGACAATCTCAAGAGGAAGGGAGGGAGGTCTATAACTAGAAACTCTGTTACGCTTTAACTGACCTTCAAAATATAGTTGAACTTGCTAGGCTTAAACATCAACAGCATGTATAATGGAGAGAGCTACAATGATCTTGTCTGCTTATTTCCAAATTCTGGACTAAAACTGCAATGGTATATACATAGCATCATCTTTTTAAACAACGCATTACCAATTTTTATATAAAATTCTGAAGTAGATAGTGAAAATGAAAAATGCATATATAAGCATTTAAATGTTTTTGAGAACACAATCTTTAATGCCAAAAGTCTTTAATCAAAGAAATAAAAACGAGCTCTGCTTTTATTGTTTAAGCTTTACTATAGTGATACATTAAATCTCAGGGGACATATAGATAATAAACCAAAAATGAGCATCAACAATATTTTAAAAACTGAATGTTACGTGAGGTTTAATCAACCATGAAAGCACAGAATGAGGACTAGAGAGTTGTAAAAACAACACTGAAATCCTGCTTTGGGGTATTATGACCTGAAGCAACCATTCTCTTCTCTACCTCCAAATAGAATAGATCTGTGTACAAAGGAACTGTTTGGATCCTTGTGCTGACTAAGCTCTACCACTTTCAATATGTTACTAAATCTAGAATCTTGGCTTTTGTTGGTATTGTGGTCAAATATTATATAAGATAAAACATTATATGTAACATTTTACACTATTGATCTGGATACAGAAATTCAGACAAATAATATCTGTGCTAGACTCTGTCCAAGAATAAGCTAAAAAGATGCCATTATAGCTGTCATTTGAATTTACATAACCTTTTAGAAGATATTATAAATGTACCTAAGTAGGCCTTAAGGGAGGCTAAACAAACAGAAATATAAAACAATACAGTATTCTGGCGATCTCTATTTTACATTCAAAATAGAAATTAACAGATTACAATATAGTCTCTTTTCTATCACAACAAAGAAATCCTAAACCTTATGAAAACTTCTCACAAACATGTTGAGAAAGAAAAATAAAACAATTTTACAACTAGGCTTTTTTCCCCAAAACTAATTTACTAAATATATTGTGAAGAAAAACAGATATATTTGTTTTATTATCCCAACACAAGGTTGAATTCTGAGAACAGAAACAAAAAAAAAATTAAGCTGTATGCTAAATTCACATAAAGGGTTCATCAACTTCTTCCCTTCCTCCAAGATTCAGGTTGTCCATTGAATTATAATCATTGTGTCAATAAGAAACAAAGAATCAAGATATTAACAATGACCATCTGTATTTACAAACAAAGCCCTAAGGTCCCAATACACCAAAGTGCTTAGGAAAAGAAGCCCCTCAAACATGAAGTCATCACCAGGTGGTCAACATTGATACTGGGTTCCCATTCCTGTACTTTTTATCTTCTCAAAGAGAAAAGAGCATCCATGAACACAGATGAAATTTAACTGAAGATTTATGTCAACTACCAAGATATACTTTACATGAAGGCAGTTTTTTTATTTTAAGTAATTACCAAAAATAAATAAATATTGGAATTAGATGTTTCTATATTTTAAGAAGTAAGAAGAAAAGCACAGGAATAGTGATGCCCATTGACTGATTTTGGACTTCAGCTGAAACAAGATGCAGGCTTTGTAGATACCTGGTCCTCATTCATTTCTGTCAGTAATTTGTTGGCAAGGTCTTTCTCGTTCTTGTCTGCCACCTTACTGTGAGCATTTAAAAACAGCTGTTAAAAACAGAGATAAGAATAATGGAGAAAGAATATTAAACTGTTACTTATAAGCAGAATGAAGCCTAGCTGGATTTCCATGTCTCTTGAAAACCAATTAAGAATCCAGTTATAAAGTGTATTACTTCCAGAAATAGAAGATTATTTCCTTTCTGGGTAACAAACTAATAGTAGTCTATATACTATTAATTATTATAGATACAGGTCTCCCTTAGAACTCAAAATTATTAAAAATAAACAGCAATAATTACAAATGGTTAATATTACTATAATCCTTAAAGAATCAGCAGAGAATGTCACTCAGAAAAGAAGAAAAATTGATACTGAGATAGATCAAAGATACTACTAAATAATGTTCTTAGTCAAGTTTGCAAAATCATATTAAATTAACTTTGAAAAGAATTCTTTCCAGAAATACTTCTAAGAGCCTCACAGTAGGGGTCTCCTGTGTAGTTTAAAAAGGGAAGTCAGTATGCAATGTTGCCCAAGTTTATCTGACTGTACATCTTGTTAAAGAATATTCATCAGTTGAACATAGCTCATATTTTAGTTTGTAGGCTGGAAAGGGAGACTGGAAAAATCTCTATAACATGAGATTATTGCTTTTCGTTTTTTAAAAAAATTATTTTTATTGTGGGTGCATGACAGAGGAAAAGGGCACATGCCATGGTCAGAAGATAACTTTGTGGCTTCAGTTCTCTCCTTCCACCTTTACCTGGGTTTCAGGAATAAATTCTGGTCACCAGGCTTGTGGAGAAAGTGTCTTTACTGGATGAGCCATCTCACTGGACCATGATTACTCTCTTTCACAAGACATAAAGGCATTAAGTATTTTAGTTTCATTATATAAAATAAACTAGGTAAAGGTGTACTGTGGTATGGACTGCAAAACATATGTGTAAAACTGAACCTAAGAATAGGCTTTAAAATCAGAAAGCTGAAGGAAAACCTTGATTTTGCTCATTTTCCTGAGGGCTTGGATTACACCCATGTGCTACCTCGCCTGGCAAAAATCTCTAAATGATTCCAATATTATTATTTATTATATATGGTTATTACTCTGTGGGGGGGTGTCAGGCTCAAACTTTGGCTTTATGCATGTATACAAAGGTATTCTATCATTGAACTATATCCCTAGTTCTTTGCTACCTCTTAGCATCCTGGTTTTTGGGAAAACCAATTAATCCAACCTTAATTCCCCAAAATGAGAACAAATATCTTATCAAATAGCTGTGCAAGTTAAGTGATGTGTAATCTATGCTAGTTTATTTCCATAATAGCACAAAGCTAGTATTACCAGCAAAAATTGAAAACAGTATTCCATATCATTGTCATACACAGGAATAGGGATGCTCAGAAAAAGCTAATGAAAATAAAAGTAAGTTGTCTTCAAGTCTGGGGACAGAATCCAGTGGTAAAACAACTTCACTAACATGAACAAGACCAAGAATCTGATCCCCAGTATCACAAAACAAAAAGTATTTTTTTTTACATAATTCAATATACCAGTCTACATGAAGAATATTTTAACAGTTCTTGCTCTTCAACTAGAAAACTTAACTCCAAACCTTTATGCTAAGATACAGTCAGAAAACACCAAGATTGTAACAATCTTAAAGCAAATATGATGGTTTTAAATCCTTTTTAGCTATACTAAATATATTTTGTTTTTTTCCTTCTAGTTGAAATATCCTTTGAAAGCTTTAATTTTCTTACATGAGAAGCTATCTACTAAAACACACTGTGTTTGAAAATGCCATAATGATATCTAATACTTTATATACCAATTAAAAACATTTTTTAATTATACATTGCCCATGCATAGTGATACATGCTTTTAATCCTAGAACTGGAGAGGGAGAGGCAGGTGGATCTCTATGAGATCAAGACCAATCTGAACTACATAGCAATTTCTAGGACAGCCTGGTTCACATAGTGAGTTCCAGCCAGCTGAAGCTACAGGGTACACCCTGTCTCAAAAAACAAAAACAAATACAAAAATCAACAAAAGCAAAAAATAATCAAAATTAAATTATATATTAATTTAAATCATATATTTACAATACAATTAAACAAAACATTCAACATTCACCATACCTAATCATAAAATAAAACTTAAATGTATGGTTTGAGGACGAGGCTTCTTTGCCCTTCAGTAGGGGCCCAGACTACTGCAGATGCCTGAGAGTACCTGGATTCGACCTCCACTTGATGGTGAGCTTCATAAATCAGGCCCTGCCCATCCCCTACATTGGAATCACCTGTGGTCCTGCCCACTGCTCAAGGTCTAGACTTCTCAGCCCTGTAGGTCCGACCAAGACTTTGCAAACTGCTGAAAGCACCTAAATCAGGCCTCTGCTTAGTAAGCTTGCCAAATTGTGCTGTAACTACTTGTGAGTAGGGGCCCAGACCTTAGGAGGAATCCTGAGAGGACCTGACTGGCATGTGACTTGGGCCTCTGTGGAAGCTCCTGAGTAGCTGGACTGAAGCCATCTGGTCCCTCCAATATAAAATCAAAAGAAAGAACCTGAAGACTAGACCAACCAGCTTTATTTGCCCAACAGGAAAACAACCAAGTCACACTAATAATACAAACAGAAGCAGAATTCAACTCAACAAAGGAAGGTTCGAGTTTCATACCAGAATCACCACCAAAAGAAATCCACATGCCAAAATCACAACAAAAAATACTATGGAAAACCAAAATAATAGGGTCCCACCAAACACCACCAGACCTATAGAAGAGCTCTACAATGAGAACCCCCTAGAGATAACCCAGGACACAGAATTTAAAAGAACAATCATGCCGGGCATGGTGGCACATGACTTTAATCCCAGCACTCGGGAGGCAGAGGCAGGCAGATCTCTGTGAGTTCAAGGCCAGCCTGGTCTACTCTACATAGTGAGTTCCAGGACAGCTGGGGCTACAGGGAGACCCTGTCTCAAAAAGCCAAAAAAAAAAAAAAAAAAAGAACAATCATAAACATGATCAAAAAATTCAATGAATTTAAAGAATACATAAAACAAATCAAAGAACTAAAAGAAGATAGGGAGAAACTACTGACTGAATTCACCAAAGAGATAGAAATATTGAAGAAAACGCAAGCTGAAATGAAGAAGTGAAAAGCCAATTTGAAACAACAGGAGAAAGCCTTGGTGACAGAACAAATGAAATGAGAAACAGAATATCAAGACTGGACAACAGAGTTGAAGTACTGGACTGCTCAAGCAAAGATTATGAAATAATTTTTAAAAGTACAGGAATGGAATATGTAGGAAATATGAGACACCATGAAAAGACCAGCTTTATGCATCATTGTCAGAGGAAGGAGAAGAATTTCGGGCTAATGGAATTGATCAGATCTTACACAGGATTGTAGAAGAAAATTTCCCCAAATTAAGGAAAGACATGCCCATATAAATGCAAGAGACACATAGAACACCAAATAGACAGGACCAGAAAAGAAACTCTCGACAGTATATCATAGTAAAAACATTAAATGGACAGAAAAAGAGAGAATACTGAAAGCTGTAAAAGAAAAACAAGTCACATATAAAGGAAAAATCCATCAGAATAACAGCTGACTTAATGCAAACTATGAAAACCAGGAAATTCTGGAACAAAGTATTCCCAGTTCTAAATAACCACAGATACCAACCCAGAATACTTTACACAGCAAAAATGCCTAGTATAGTTGAAGAGGGGGAAAAAAATCTTCCACGACACTAATAGACTAAAAGAATACATGAAGTAAGAAGCAAGGGTTGCAATTCTACTATCTGACAAAATAGACTTCAAACTAAAACTAATCATAAGAGAAAAAGAGAGTCACTTCATTCTGATAAAAGGAACAATTAACCAAGAACATATTACACTTGCAAACATATATATGCATCAAACTCTGGTGTACCTAATTTCATTAAAACACTACTATAGGACTTTAAGACACAGATTAACCCCAACTCAGGAAGGATAGAGGATGTCAATACCCATTTTTTTCCATTAGACAGGTGAATTGGAAAAAGAATAAACAGAGACAGCTGAATTAAATGATACCATATTTCAAATAGGACTAACAGACATCTACTGAATAGTTCACCCAAGCACCAAAGAATACAATTTCTATTCAGCACCCCATTGAATTTTCTCTAAAGTTGACCACTTACTAGAGCACAAAACAAACCTCAACAAATACAAAAAAATTGAAATAATTCCATGCATTCTATTAGACCACAGTGCAATAAAGCTTAAAATCAACACTGAAAGAAGGCCTAGTCACTACTCCAACTCATAGAGATTAAACAGCACACCACTGAATGATGAATGGGTCAAAAGAGAACTTAAGAAAGAAATAAAATTATTGCTGGAACTAAATGAAAAGGACAATAAAACACAACAAAACCAGTCGGACACTTTAAAAGACTCTGGAAAGGCAAGACCAAATGAAACCCAAACCCAGCAGATGAGAAGAAATAACTAAAACCAAAGTAGAAATTCATGAAATAGAAACAAAGAAAACAGAGGCTGGAGAGTCAGCTCAGCGGTTAAGAGCACTGACTGCTCTTGTAGAGGACCCGGGTTCGATTCCCAGCACCCACATGGCAGCTACAAACCGTCCTTATCTCCAGTTCCAGGGGAATCCAAAGCCCTCTTCTGCCCTCCACGGCATTGCACGACATGGGTTCACTCACATACAGACAGGCAATACACTCGTACACATAAAGTAAAAATAATAAATAAAATATTTTTAAAAAGAAAACAATACAAAGAGTCAATTAATCTAAGAGCTGCTTCTTTGAAAAGCCTAAACAAAATAGACAGATCCTTAGCCCAGTTAACCAAAAGGAAGAAAGAGCAAATTCAAATGAACAAAATCAGAGATGAGAGGGGAAACATCACAACAGACACCCAAATCCGGAACATTATAAGGGAATACTTTAAAAACCAACACTCTACTAAATTTGAAAACCTAAAAGAAATGGATGGATATCAATAG